CCAGGGGACTGGGTCACATAGGTCCCGTTAGGCTCCCTGGATGGGGACCTCGGGATGATCGTAACCGATAGTTGGAGATACTGAATGATATGGCTGGGTGTCGTAAACAGTGGCGTTCTTGCATCTCCTCAATTTTCTATTCGATCCTACTTTCAACCTTCCTGTTCTGCTCCTATTGCTCACCCAAATGGGCAGCCAATAGACAGCAACCAGAAGCGTCGCACGGAAATGCATGCTTAATGGCTCCTGAAACTGAACTGAACTTTATTTATCCTATATACAAGTGGGTACGTTCCAGGAATCGAACAGAAGAGCAGCATACTGTGAATTTTTAAATTTACCACCGGATTTTAGTCTTCCACGCCCATTTACGTTGCGACGTACAGCATTAGAATGAAATGATTTCAAAATGATTCAATTTAAATAAACATGGTCTGAGGTAAACTTCTTGGGTTGTCACTGGTCCCCCAGGTGTTGCAGCTCGCGCGATGCTGCTATACGACCCAGCGTTTAGAATAGCCTCCGGTGGTGAAGCGTTCTCACTGGCTTAACGTGGATTTATTTTCTCACTGGAGTGAGAGGACGAAAAACCAGCATACGGAGCCGAAATTGGGTCGGTGAGCCACTGGTAGATCACGTAGTGCAGTTCACGATAAACCTTGATTCCGAATCAACCAAACAGGTGTGCGAACCACATACACACGTTATTTGCGGTAGTGGTCACCGGCTTGATTGGGCATCGAATTTTATTGGACAGTGGGTCTTGAACGATGGACCGGACAACGGCCCCATATATATATATATATATATATATATATATATACCGGCTTGTAGACAAGCATGATGCCAAAGACAGGCGGGTTGGAATGCATAGAAAATTTGGAAGAAGTTGGAATCGTTAAAATAGAAAATGGTAGGCAACTGGGAAAACGCACACAACGACCCCAAGTAGAACACGGTTTTCATGCACCGCACCAATGAAGCGCGGGTTAGGCTTTGACCAACCGAAGCTGCCGGTTATGAATCCCTCAATAAAATTCACCCGTTTTGTCTTGGGTAAAACAGTTCGGTTCATTTTTACGAGCATTAACTGTGCACCTTCGTGCGCCAGTTTGGGTTACTTTATCGTGCCTTCCCACTGGAATACAAGAGTAGAGGGAGGATTGGAATGTTCAAAGCAGCGTCAATAGCATTCCGCACATGAGTAAATCATAGATCTATTTCTTTGTCATAAAAATCATTGTCCCTTAATTTGTTGAACATACAGTCTGGACATATGCGTGTGAACTATAATAATATAAGCAAATATAGTACCAGTTCATGAAGTTTGCGAAGCTTATCAAAAATTTTATCAATGAGGAACGGAATATGATAACGGTAGGGATTGCCCGCAACAATGCAAAAAATACAACCCATTCATTTCCAAATCACATATCACAAGATCACAATTAACCAATAATATTCATCGCGTCAGACTATTACACTAATTTGACAATTTTGAACACTATATATAACTGTATTAGCTCGAGGATGAATTTATTGAAAACAAACTTTGTTTAGTTCAGTGCCTTCTTAACTAACAGAGTATAAAAATTTTAAAAGACGGTCAGATGAATTTGGATAAGCCGTTCGGTTTTCTGTCTTGTGTAAGCTGAACTGATATGTACGTTCGGATTTCTTCGCTTAAATAACATTATATATACCTCTGTCCACCGACATAGGCTAGTAACAGCTGTTAGGCTCATGGACTAAAATAACCTTCGAAGCACAGCAGCTTAACCAGCTTGGGACGTCGACGGAGCTAATGACTACAAGCTGTGGCAAGTAAGAGAACGCAGGATAAATACGAGCCATTGAAAGCCGGACAACGCCTAACCAAACCGAACTTGCGGCGGCTGGCGATAGAAAAGGCCATTAAACGCAGAAATTGAAGTTGGTACTTGTACAAGATTCCTAGGAATCATCTAGCTTGAACGCGCTACCCAAATCCTAGGAACAAAACGGTCTATATGGTGCGAACAGCCAAAAACAACTAAATTTAGGCTGCCTGAATGCGCCAAGGACCAATTTAAGGGCGGTCAAACTAAGAGGTTATGAAAACCCTGGATGCGAACCTCGGGGATTGTCGAAACGGGTGGTTAGATACACTGTGATATGGCTGTGTCGTAAACAGTGGCGTTCGTGCATCCCAATTTCTTTGCAGCCTTAGTCCAGTGAAATTCTACATTTTCTCTTCGACTCTACCGTCAACTTTCCTGTCTTTCTCTTACTGTTTATCCTAATGGGAAACCAAAATACAGCAACCCAAACCGCGGGAAAGTGCACGGTTAATGGTTGTACAAAATGAAACTAACACCCGAAGCAGACACCGAGTGGAAAAAAGACAAGGGTGGTCAAGATAAGACCTGGCACGAGGGTATGA